TTTTTAAAATTCTCATTTTCAGATTATTATATCATTCACCAAGAGAATATTTGGGGGAAGTAATGAATTCAGTTTGGAAGTGTAACGTTTAAAGTGTCTCTGAAACATTCCCAGTATAAAGAACTGGAAATATTTACCAATCCAGAACAAGAAATTTTTGGTTAGAAAATATTGATGGGAGAGTTATGTAGGCAGTATGGGCAGACAATTTTGTAGACAAGACCATCTAGGAGAGGTGAAAAGAGTAAGAAAGGGGCCAAATACTGTGCCTTGAGCAACAATGGTAATATTTAAGTAGTAGAAAGAAAAGGAAACAAGAATGAATGCAGGCAGCAATTAGTTCTATAGAAAATGTTCTATATGGAGAGAGACACTTAACCTTGAAAGAATCTTCCAAAGTAATTTATATTGTAACCTCCATTTTATAAATGAAGAAACTGAGACACAGTAAGTTAAATCATCGTCTCAAGGCTCATCAGAGCAAGTAAGTCTAAGAGAAAGAGTCTGAATCCAGGGACTCTACTTCCAGAGTCCAGAGCCCATGCTCATGACCCATCCATTCAGGAGATGGAGAAAGAGACGAAAAAAAGAGAAGAGAGGGCGAGAGAGCATCAATATGGACTGAAAAATACCGGTGTATAGCTTTGGCTACAGTACAAGCCAAAATGGGTATGCTGTACAGATACGGAGGTAGTAAAACAATTTTAAGTCCTCTGCGTCTCATGTAAGAAATGGTTGTAATAGGAAAAGCAAATCCATCCACCCGACTTGAGCTTGGCTCAGTCACAGACTTTCAGATTAAGGCCACTGGTAGGCACATAAATTAAAATTGGAAGGGCAACTACTTAATTCACTGTTCTTCCTGAACCAGTTCCTTTTAAATAAGGCTTTGAAGAACATACATGAGGCTAATGGTGGAACAATCATCAGGAGTCAGAGGACGGACACTAAAGCAGGAGGGTTACAAGTTCTAGGCCAGGTTTGGCAACTTAGCAGAACCTATCTCAAAATTTGAAAAAGGTTGGGGATGTTGCCCAGTGGTAAAGCACCTCTGGGTTCAATTTCTAAATCTGTAGGACCAAACAAACAAACATGAGAGGAAACCTCCTCGTCATGCCTTGATGTATATAACCAGGGATATGAACATTAGTCTAGCTTTCTAGATTCCTGGAAAAAAAAAAAAGACAAACATAATGTAAAGGTTTTGGACAACTATAGGGTGAAAAAGAGTGGGATTTTTGGATTATTTCTGAAGAGCAAACGTAACCTCAAAATAATGACTGTATTTTAATTAAATGTCTAAGTTCACTATATACATTTCCCCTTTATTTGTATTTTCTTCATAATATTGGGTTATCAACAATGGCCAACCCTGACTACATTCTGGTTAATGAATAATTAACTGTAAATTTACAGGTAGGGAGGTGCAAAAGTGAAAGAAGACCATACTTAATTTTCACAATTTTCTTGATAAGGCAAAGAAAGGATCACCCAGTGTTACAGCAGCTGACTGAATAAGAGGTTGTGGATGGTAGTGAAGATCTGAAATAGTCCTTAAGAATAGTACAGGGCTGGGGTTGTGGTTTAGTGGTACAGCTTGCCTAACACATGTGAGGCACTGGGTTCGATCTTCAGCACTACATAAAACTAAATAAGTAAAATAATGGTATTGTGTCCATCTACAACTAAAAAATTAAAAAAGATGATGATTAAGAGTAATACATGGAGCCAGGCATAGTGGCACACGCATGGAATCCCAGCAGCTCAGGAGGCTGAACAGGAGAGGATCGCGAGTTAGTGATGCACTAAACAACTCAGTGAGACCCAGTCTCTAGATAAAATACAAAATAAGGTTAGGAATATGACTTGCTGGGTGGTTGTGTGCATCTGAGTTTAATCCCAATACCTCCCCCACTCCAAAAAAAAGAAGAGTATGGCATGTGTGCATTCAACTGTATATAGTTCCTCCGTGATGACTCATTTATTTTTATTATTTTCAGTGTTATATACTCTATTTTTTAAAAAATTGTTGGTCGAACCAAAACAAAACAATGCTGGAAAGTACTGAAAAGAAAGGGAGAAATGATCTGTAAAAAAATACGGTTACTTCATTTTTGTAAATAACTCTCTCCCCTACCAATTTTCACTAAAACAAAAATAATAACAAACAACCCACCCCCATTTATGTGTGTATGAGTAAAGCGTGGGATGAAAAAGGGCCATGGAATAAGACACTTGCAAAACATAAACATCCATGGTATGCTGTTAGGTGAGACAGATGAAATAGACTCAAAATTCAACATGGATTATTTTCATTCATTCAACAACAATCTATTCAATGAAAGTACCGAGTAATATAAGAGAATTGTGAGCAATTTATAATTTTTATTGCTATAATTTTAAGTGAAAGTTTTTTAAAAAGAGAAGAACTACAGATATTTGTACTACATCTTAAGGCAAAAAGAGAAGATACTAACAATCCCACTCTTACTCTGGGTAGAAGGTATATAAATTGTAGTGTTGTAGACTGATGACACACCACAATTCATGTTGATATCCCAAACCGCAATGTGAGTGTTTTTGATGGACCTTTATGGATGCAATTAAGATTAAACAGGGTCTTAGTGGTGGAGCCCTAGTTCATAGGAACTAGTGTCCCTCTGAAAAGAGGAGGACATGTCATAGATGTGTGCACAGAGAGGGTCAGTGGAGGGTATAGGAAGAAGGCCACTATTTACAAGCTAAGAGAGACCTTGGGAGAAATCAAACCTGCTAACGCCTTGATCTTGGACATTCAGACTCAAAAACCAACAAAAATAAACTTCTGTTATTTAAGTCACTACCTCTGTAGTATTTTGTTATAACATCCCTAGCAGACTACTATGTGCACTTTGGGTGAAGTTATCATGACCACAACAAAAAGTATTTAATCTATCTAACAATGTAAAGCAAAATAAAAAGTAAAACTGCACAAGATTATTCCCGTTCACCACCCTCCAAACATCCAAGTTTTTGTATATTGGGGGATGAGGGTAGGACTTATAAGCAAGTCAAATTCTGAATAACAAAACAAAGATATTAAACTTCTGGAGAACTAAATAAAAGAGAAGGAAAAATTTACCTCTTAGTTAAATGTAAACCAAAGCAAAAAAGAAAAAAAAGAAAAATTTCAAGTCACTTTGAAAACAGAAGTGAGAGAAATGTGGAAAAGCTTCCAATAAAGAATCCCAGGTGACTGGAAATTAAACAGCATAACTTTAAGGTGTACAAAATGCGACCAACAGTTTTAACTAGTGCAGTGGCTCTCAAATTTTAGCAAATGTTACAATCATGTCAAAGATTTACGACACACATAACTTAGAAGAGTTTCTGAATTCAGTCCTTAGATGGTGCTTAAGAATGGTCAATTCTGACATGTTTCTGGATTCCACACGCTGCTGGTTCTAGAAACTGCAGTTGGAGAAATACTAATTTAGTGTAACTATGAACTGTATTTTAATAAATATGATAAATATTAAGTGGTCATAGTGTTAAGGTTCACTTATGGCTACTGTTCCTTTCAACTGTGTGTTTATTAGAAGTTCCTACTGGTCTCAATTCTATCTACATAAATTCTATCCTGAACTATTTCAAAATTAATTTTTGAGGAGTAGGAAGAGAGTACTGCAATGACCAAAATGAGAATCATTTAAATTAAAATCAAACTTGCCACTGACAATAGTTCTATGAGGTTCCAATTCTTAAAAATCACTAGCTCTAAGTTATATTTAACTCAGTAAATTATATATAAAGAAATTTACCAACATAAATCTTAAGACTAGATTAAAAGTCAATATAAAAAGAAGATGTGGGCAAAGGTCATTTCTTTAAATAAGTTGTTTTGAAATAAGTTCTAGTACTTTTTTTTTTAAGTACAAAGTAAACACAGTAACAATACTTACCATCAGTGCAAGGGCCATATGATTCCCTGAATGTGCCTTTGAAGGAATGATTTCCATGTGGTATGGGAACACCTTTGTGTCTGATAGTCAATTGTATACACAAACAAAAACAACTCAACCATTGTGGTAGAGTGTTATAAAATATCGAAGCTACTTTACAAAAGCTATAATGATACATATGAAGTTTCTATACTTTTAAAAAGAATTGAAAACCAATGCAGTATTCTCTTCAGTAGAGAGCCTAAATTCTACATTTTGATAGCTACAATATGCAAAATCTAATTTTATAACAGGAATAAAAGCAACTTCTTGTCATTACACATTAGCTATACAATGATACCTTTATAAAAAGTACCATGATAGATTATTATTTTTTTCTTCCTCTTCTATCCAGGATCTTTTGTGAGAGGCACTTTATAAAAAGTACTAGATTTTTCGACGCTATAACAAACATAGACATAGCGTAATGATATATTTTACTATGCTAACAAAGTATCATAAGAAATTTTTATAAATTCAAAAATAGGTTGTTGGTAACATCATTACCTTTAAAGCATTGATTTGACTTTCATTCACAATATTATTTCATTAATCTTAAACATCAGTTCCGTCTATAAAATATTCTACAGCTTTTTTCTTTTTGAAAATTAAGTAAATAAAAGCAGTTTAGATACTCGTGACTTCTAATTAAACAATATCAACTTCATTTCACAGCATTGATTAGCAGAGAACATTTTCAATTAAAGTGATATACAATTTACAAAAATAGAATGATTATATAATGCAAAACATTGTACTCCATTATGTAGAATATACATGTGAATATGTGTGTGTTTGTGTGTGTGTACACATATTTCTTTTTTAAGTTTCACAAATAGCCCTTATTCAAGTACTCTTTCAGGTTTCTCTTGAAATAATTACTTTGCTATATTATTTGTAAATACATAAAAAAACAAAAGGCTAATCTAAGAAAGATTAAGTTTCAGTGTACATAGACTTAAAAAATTGGCTGCTCACTTTAGTGAAAACCTGACTAAATTCATAACAAGTTTAGGTGCCATCCTAAGTTCAACAACTTAGTAAAAAATATAGAAATATTGTAAGTGTCAAATACCTAGTAATTTTCCAGTATGATACCATTATAGCAAAATAAAAAGACTGTACTAACCTACATCACCCAATCTTAATTCCCAGACAAAATTCAATTATATATTATAGCTAAAACAATGAACTAATATACAATATACCTGCTTACAAACACATAGGTAGCCATAAATAAAACTTTATTCTTTAATTTCATTTACAAGCTACCAAATATTATGTATCGTACACAAGTGCTGAACACTTAAAATGGCTGTCGTCATGGAAGAATCCAGACTGAATGGAAAGCTGCTGGACAAAGAAATGAGCAAAGTAACACTGTAACAGAAAGGTGGCAAAAGCAGTTTTGCCATAATAAAATCAGATTTATAATTATACATCAGTTCTGGTTAAAACAAAGTCTGAGTGCCATGCGATTCTCAGCTTTATTATTTTCAGTCTGGCTAAAGTCTGTATAGTCATTTTGTCTTTTGCAGTTATTAAAATTAAAAAAGTTAAAAACTATAGCAGCAACAAGCAAACCCTGTGACAGGAAGGCAAGGGTTAAGAACTAAAAAAAGTTTATACAGTGTGTTTAGGGAAAGTGTGTGTGCAGTTTATCTTCCATCAGCAGGAGTTCGACTGAGGGACAACATGATTCGGGCAAAGCGCTCACAGAGTTCATGTGTGGAATAGGAAGGTAACTTTGGTGGCTCATGGAAACCTTTAATCTCCGTAGAACAGTCAAGCAGTTTTGGCAGAAAATCGGTGAGCTTTTCTTGGAGGTTTGCTGCAACACAAAAAATCAGATGTATCAAAACACTGAGAAAAATTATCAAAAGAATATCAGCAATTATGATTATGTAGCAGAGGCCAGTTGATGTTTCATTTTGAAATATGTAAAATTAGTTGCCATTTTGTGGAAGAGATAAAATATAAATGGAAACAGCAATATGAACAGTTTAATTGGTAAATAGGGAAAAACCAGTAATGATGGGAATATAAGAATATTAAAGAATGTAAAATAGCAAGAATAAATATCTTATTTTAAATTCTTTTAATCCTAGCAACTCAGGTACTCATCAGTATTGTGTAAACTTACATTCCATTTCTTGTCCAAGGTACGAACACCATCGATTCCTCATATCTTCCACAGCAAGTATATCTTTCTCTTCCATTTCATCCACCAGGAGCAGGGGTAAAAATGGAACAATAAATTCATTCATGATAATCAAACCATTGTTTACTTCTCGATCCTCTCCAGATTCGAACAGTTCTGCAGCTTGCTCATTTAATTTCTTAATGCAATGAAAAAAAGAACAAGAGCTTTATTTCCTTTCTAATTAAATAAAATACTTGTGTTAACACTAAAACAACACAATAGGTATTTCACAAACAGTATTGAACAAATAGTAATCAAGAAAAACAACCTATTCCAGTACTGATAAATCTCTTTAGAAAAAAAAAATGTGCATATGATAGCAATAGAAATCAAAATAAAAAGCAGTAAATATAAAAATTTTTTAAAGTATATGTTCATCTTATATTACCTCAATCATCATTATTATAAAGGCCATTTTAAGAGATTTAGACTACATATTAATTTGAAAACTCATCATTATCTCTTATTTAAAGGTCAAATAAATATATACTATTATATTCATTGGTTTAAAAATGGAAAATAATTATTTTTTCCTTCAACAAGTTTTTGCTGTGTACACACCATATTCTACAAACTTCTCTACATACAGGGATACCCAAGGATTGTCAATTACTGCCAAAATTATTTTTTGAAAACAAACCTAATGATGGTAAACTTAATGAAACTTATACTGACTGAAACTGATAAGCATGCCGTGACGGGTAGGCTTCCTCACAGTCTGCCACCAAGAAGTGCTGTCAGCCTGGCACTTCCATCTGCCTCTCCTCCATATCTAAGGCACAATAAATCCATCTTCATTTTCTGTTGTTTACATTCCAGGACTTTTCACTTGGTGTCTCTTTGACCTGAATGACATTCGCCCTTCTCTACATTTATTCAAGGAGATCCAGATCAGTGTTTATCTATCTCTTAAAATTCTTTTGAACAATTCCAGACATCTCCTTTTGCAAATGCAAATACATATGAGGAATATAAAAATTATTTGTGTATGTATGTTACCAGATGATGGAGTTCTCTAAGGAAAGAAATTGTGTCTTACTTATCTCTGTATCCCTTAGAACTTGATACTCAGTAAATATACAATGTGAAAAAACTTGAAATGAACACTCCTGACCCAGTTTCATCTAAATCCCTATATAAAGTAACTAAGTGTAACCGCTTTACTATTAAAAATGAAAAGAGAAACATTTATCATTTTTTGAATATTTTAAGAACAATCATTTGGGTTGCATTTTTATTTAAAATCAGCTATAATAAAAACATTTCCATAGCCCCCAAATTCATTGTTCTAAGTTAAAAATTGCTCTAATACATTCAATGCATGTCTCTATGTACTTATATAAAACTCTGAATGCTTTTTAAGCTAAAATATATTTAATTCAAGTGTTCTTTCTCAGGGGAATATTTAAAAGCCCTTGAAACTGGTCAATTAATATTCTCAGGACTAGGGATAAGCACAGTTGTAGGTGTGAGGTCCTAGTTTTGATTCCCAGAGCCATAATAATAAATTACAATAACACCATCCCCAACTGACATAAAATCATCAACAATTTAAGTTTGAAAATGGACTCAAATGCAGCAAAAATCAGCTAAATAGTAACATTGTAAATTGCTAATATTCCTATTCAAATATTTTAACTACACACTACAATTAGTTTAAGCTGTGTGATTCTATTGAAAGAAAGCATTTCAACAGAAGACTAGTTTAAGTTTTTTAAAGTACACTTAATCTATTTAATAAACCTATTGTGGGTTCAAAAAATATACACTCCTTGAACATCTTTGTCTCTCTGTTTTGAAAAAGAAAAAAAATACAACTTAGGAATTCACAATACAGATCAGAATGATGTATGATGTCAGTAATTAGTTAACTCAGTGAAATCTTAATAATAAAATTTTAATGGAATTTTTTATTTTCTAAAGGAAGGCTAGATGATTTAAGGAGCATCAATAAAGTACTCCAGACATTAGAAGTTAAATAAACTGGTGTAAAAAGAATTCTTTAAAGTAACTTTTGAAGTTTGTAATAATATTTTCAGCACTTATTAAAAATATTTAGGAGAAAAAACTACTAAATCCAGATGCAAAAAAAAAGAAAAATATTTCACAGTGAATTCTTTGCCATTATATACAAGTATACCATTTATAAAATCTCAGAACATCGATACTTTGTTTTCTAACATTTTTTTCCTTAAGATCTAAGCAGTCCTTCCTTGCCCACCAAAAACAGGAGTGGTAGTGTGATGATGAAATCTAACACACATGAAAACAATGTAATCTCATGTTAGGAACATTTCTGGTTTAACACCTGAATACCTGAAACTACAGAAGAAGGATAATGAACTTTTGCCACCTTAAGGGAACAGATCCAGTGTATAGAAACATCATTGTGGTTATTACCCTGCCAGGATTTAGTCAATCACTTACATGTGAGTCAAGAAAACTTGCCCAAGGAAAGACAAAATCATAAACATACACTGAACATTGAACTTACTAGTAAACATTCTCTTCTATAATGTGATATCAACTCTTCATCATGTCCTCTGTATGGGCCCTTAGACAAGAGCTCTTTGTTATTCTGATAAGCACAAATAAGGAACAGCAAGGAATCTATATAACTTAAAAATTAAAAACAAACATTGTATTAGCATTTCATTTTATTAAAATTTTTTATTCTACTTTGTTATATAAGACACAGCAGAATGCATTAACAATCATATTATACATATTGAGCACAATTTTTCATATCTCTGGTTGTATAGAAAGTATATTCACACCATCCATGTCTTCATACATGTACTTAGGGTAATGATGTTTAGCATTTCATATTTGTAAAGAAAAAAGTCAATTATAATTACAAAACAATTTAAATATATGCTTAAACCATACACTGTATGCCCTAGAAAATCTCTTAAGCAACAGCAACACATGACATATCTGTTTTCAAATAAAAAAAAATAGAATGTAGAAATTAATAAAAGTTCAGAGACGAGGCCATAGCTGACGAAATCAGCACCAAGTCTTTCTGATATTTATTTCTCTCTCTTTTTCTGGTACTGGAAATTGAACCCAAGAGCACTCAGCCACTGAACCACATCCCCAACCTTTTTAATTTTTATTTTGAGACAGATTCTTGCTAAGTTGCTTAGGGCCTTGCTAAGTTCCAGAGGCTGGCTTTGAACTTTTGATTCTCCTGTTTCCTAAAACACTGGGATTATAGGTGTGAGCCACCAGGCCCAGCTTATTTTTCTGATGTCTTCTATTTAGACTCAAAATTATGACTGATATGAAAGCTAACAATCTACTAATTTAACAACACAGCATCGGTTTTCTCTGTGAAGGACGGATTGGGATCTTTTGTTTCAAAATCACAAATATCCCCTGGTATATGTAGTGATTGATTGTCAAGTTTTCTGTATGTACATACACAGTTCTAGTTGTTGAGAAACATGTAGAAGACAGAAGAAAGAATATCCAAAGGCAACACAGGAAATGGAAAGAGAGAAAGGTTCTTCTAAATCTGGGAAATCTACTGGGATAAAATAAAAAGAATACTGTAAATAACACAAAAGGCTGATGAGGCAAAGTCTATGTGTTATGTATAAGCCTAGAATTCAAGAAGTTTAAACTAGGCTTGAAAAAAAAAGGGAAAATGTTTAACAGAGTATTGTGTTTTTATTGTCTTAACATGTTCAAAGAAAAACAGTCATATGTTTGTATAACTGAAATGTGAAAGATAGCTTTGAATCATTTTTGTCCAGTCATGAATGTTATCTTTTCACAAATTAGTGTAAAAGAAAATAACATCCTAAAAGAAGGAAATATGTAAAAGATTTATTTTTAAACTCTATATTGCCAATCAATGTTACTATTTATTATTTGCTTTCTGTGCTCAGATATGAAATAAATTATTTTCATACTCAATTACTAAGAGTAAAATTTGAAAACTAATATACACATTTATGACAAATCATATTACACATATGAAACCATCATGATAAGTTTTCAACATTTTTTAAAAAATGCTTTTTTCCTAAGAATTTGAGAAAACCTGAGTATGAAATTTTATTTTGAAATGATATGACTATGTTAATAAACATATTCTCAACTAAAGATTTTGTTTTATTAATGAAAAAAGGAAGTACTAATATAAAATATTTTTATTCTATTAAATTGTGGTGGTTGGTTGTTTAATAAATAACTGGTTCTTTTATCTTTCCTTTTATACCCATAATACTTGCTATTAAAAGGTCTCTCCTGAATGATATTAATATCTGGCTTTACAGACCTGTGTCATCACTCTGAGAATAGTTCTAAAATTATGATCTTTGTACAATTCTTCATGGAGAGGACAAAATGTTTAAACATTTTATCAATTTTAAATGCTTATGAATATATAAAAATTCGAAATAAAATTCAGCAGTCCAATTACTAATTCTTTTTATAAAATAAGACCATGTAACAATACACCTGTAATTCTAGCAATTCAGGAGGCTGACACAATTTTGAGGCCAGCCTGAGTGACCTAGCAAGACCCAGTCTCAAAATAAAAATTATAAAAGATGAGGAATTTTATTCATTGGCAAAATGCCCAATCAGACCTGGGTTCTATCCCCAGAAGAAGAAGAACAACAACAACAACAACAATAACAAAAAGACTGGTAAACTCGGTTCCTAAAACCATTTACTCCAATACGCACAGAACTGACAAAGACTCATCAACAAGTATTTAATTGCAGAGTTTCAATTCATTAAAAATAGGTTTGACACAACCTTTTGGCAATATTTTATATACCACTAGTTATGGTAACATTATTTAAGAAAGTCATAAGGCTAATATTTCTCCTAAAAACATACCATACTATTTGACATCATTAAAAATTTCTAATTGATAATCCCAATCTAACAAACATTGACTTGATGAACAAATACATATTTGAGAACTATCAAGCAAATTATGAAATTTAAACATTCTTCAAAGTTATATCTTTGAATGTCTTTTACCAAAGTTATATCTTTGAATGTCTTTTACCAAACTTTAAGAAGCCCAACAGACTTTGAGAAACTAAGGTAGAAGCTATGCGACTGGCTACAAAATGATATTTTTACTTTTTAATTAATTAAAAAGTAATTAATTAGATAATTAATTAATTTGTTATTATGAGACAGGATCTTGCTACATTGAGCAGGTTGGTCTTAAATACTGAGGCTCAAGCAATCTTCCTGTCTTAACACACTTTTTGTACATATTTCACAAAATTATATAAGAATATATGGGTGTCCATATTTAAATTTTCTCTCCCTTGTTAGTTGAATGACCTTGATAAGATTTTTGTAGAGCCTTGGTTCTTTATCTGTAAAACTGCAATGTTTTTTTGACCTTAGACACTATACAATTTTAAGACTATATTACTATTTTGCTCATATAAGCACAAAACTCAAGAGATACTGAGTGTAAATATTCTTATCAAAGAAATAAAATCTAAACTCAGTAAATAAATGGGGCTATTAATCAAAACAGCTGTCTATATCAATGAGCAAAATGAATTATTTTATAAACAACACAGTAACTAGGACCTTAATAATTCTTATTTATTTAAACACAATGTTGTGTAAAACACTGCTTTTCCTTTTGAATGTGAACTCTTAATACTGTGATAACTGTAAAAATGCCAGCACTGTACTCTAGAAGAGCACTACCCAACAGAACTCTCCATGATGGCAAACTGTTGTATTGTGTTGGACAACAGAGCAGCTACCAGCAAAATTTAGCTGCTAAACATTAGAAATGTGGATGGTATGACTGAGAAACAGAATTTTTACTTTTAATAATTTTAATTAATTTAAATTGTGACACACAGTTGGTCACAATTTATACTAGATATAAATGTCCATCTTTTCAATAAATAAATAAATCGTTACCTCAGTGGAGACTTCTTACACTTTATTAAAACAAGAAACAACTCAATGTTCTTTTTCCTTTGCCACAATAATACACTCTATTGAAACTATAGTACTTAAAAAAAAAATCTCTAGTCCAATTAATGTTAAAGATATAAATCAAAAAAGTATGTGGAGAAATAAGTAAATGCAATCTAGTAAATAAATGGCACAGTAAGTCAAAATTCATCCTGACTCTTAATGATAATTAAAATAATAGTATTATATAAGTAGAAGTTATTTTATTTTAAATTTAAGTGAATATTAATTTAAAATGTGTTTACAGTCACATTACTTACAAGTTTTCTACAGATATATTTTTTATGGTACCTGAGAATTAAAATATTGGAACCAGCATCTCTGACTTAAGTCAAGATCAGACTCATAATATGAAAAAGCATAGTGACTTCTGGGTAATACTAGGGAACAGAAAGGTTTCTCTGCAGGGCTACCAGCTCTTTCAGTCCCCCACAAAGTTTTGGGGTTTTGATTTAATCCCCTTTCACCCTAAATTTTAAGTACAGTATCTCAGAGCTAATAAAAACAATGACACTAATGCCAACTCCAGAGATTTGATTTGTTTATTTAATTATTTATTTAGAGAGAGAGAGAAAGAGAGTTTTTAATATATTTTTTTTAAAGTTTTCAATGGACACAACATCTTTATTTTACTTTTATGTGGTGCTGAGGATCAAACCCAGCACCCCGCGAGTGCCGGGTGAGCGCGCTATCTCTTGAGCCACATCCCCAGCCCTAGAGACTTGATTTAAATGGAAAATATATTTTATAGTTATTTGAGAGCCCTAAGTATTGTATTTGCAATTTTTCTGCAATAAAAATTATTCTTAATAAAAAGTTTTTGAAAAATGTACACTATGACCAGGCATAGTGGTGCATGCCTGTAATCCTAGTGGCTTGGGAGGATGAGGCAGGAAGATCATGAGTTCAAAGCCAGCCTCAGCAATTTAGCAAGGAACTAAGCAACTCAAAGAGACCCTGTCTCTAAATAAAATACAAAAAAGGGTTGGGGAAATGGCTCAGTTGTTAAGTGCCCCTGGGTTTAATCCCTGGTACCCCTCCCCCCCAAAATAAACAAAGTATACTATGAATAAATCTTTCCTGAGATAAATCTTTTCCTATTTGTGCACTTTGCCTTACCTTTCTCTTTGAAAATTTTCTAATCCAATTATAAGATACATAGTTGTTTCCCTAAATTTCTTATAATCCTGATGCCACTCCTGTAGGTGAAAGAACAAATTAAAAATATAAACACTAAGACTGAAAATTAAAATAAAATTGTTCATAAAGTAACAAACTATTCTGTTTGAGTTAAGAGAAATAAAGAATTCAGGAGAAAAATGATGTAAATCACACTTCACTTTCCAATGAACACATACAGTAATATGTATATAATAACAAATGAACACAATACATATAAAAATTATTAAGTATGAATAGGAAATAAACATCTTTGAACTTCTGTCCATGTTGACATCTACACAGCTTTATACATGTATAAGTGAAATGGATTTCTTATATAAAATTAAGAAATTCAATTTTAGTTTTTTCCCAGTCATTGATTTGCTTGCCATCTCATAAGTGTGTCCACTTATGGGTGAATTTGTTTTTCAATCCTGGAGTCTGTCCTATTATTCTAATTTACCTATTTTTATGCTAATATTATAGTTATAACAGTTATTAAGATAGTATGTTCAGATTTCTAAATAAGCCTTTCCACACTCTTCCTCAATAAAGTCTCAGAATAGGATTTCTGTCTTACCATAAATTTTTCCCATTAGATTATTAAGCTCCATAAAACAACTTGCTGGAATTTTCATAGGAACTACACTGAATCTATAAAGCATTGGGAAAAACTGACATTTTTACAAATCAGTTTTCCAAATATCTTATGTGCTTCCATTTATTTACTTAGGTCTCTAATTTTCCACAAAAGTTTTGTAATTTTTCTCTGCAGATTTCATGCACATATTTTGTTAAATTTATTTCGAAGTATTCATTTCAGGTAAGAATAAAAACATTTCAGTGAACTTTATGATCTTGATGCCATTGTAAATGGTTATTTTTATAAATTTCATTTTCTGATTATTTGCTACAGGTATATGAACATCAAATTAATATGTAAAGTAGATTTGTGTTGCAAAGTTGTTTTGTGGTAATAAATTTCTGTGGATTTTGTTCTAATTTCTGAGTACAAAAATATGCAAATAATGACTGTTTCTTCTTTTTCAATGTTTTACTTTTTGCTTGGTTTTGTTGCCTTTCTGTATTTTTCCTGATCACAAAATATAAGCATTCAGTGTTCACAATTTGTATTTGTTATAGTTTTGGGTTTATTTTTACTTTTAGTGAATTTAACTATGCACTTGCAAGTGAATTAAAGTAGTTACCATACATTCAAAGTTAGCTAGGTGTTTTCATCAAAAATAGTGTTTTTCTGGATCTTCCTCTTCTCTGCTAATGTGGAAAATCATATTAATTATTTAGAGGAATCTAAACTAACAAAGTTTATAAATGGGACCAAATATTAATCAAAGACACATAGGAAAGCAATTTAAAATCACTAGACTTATAAATAAAAAGTCAGCAGATAGTTAAATTTAAAAGGTTGAAGAAATTTCAGGTCCCTGAATTCGTCAATTACAATAAAAATATCTTATATATTGTTTTTTTTTTTTTTTTTTTTTTTTGGCAGCACTGGGGATTGAGTCCATGACCTTGCACATGCTAAAACAAGTGTTCTCTATTACAAAGCTATACTATCAGACCAAAAACATAATTTTAAAGCCAAAGTTAATATAGAGAGGATTTTGTACACAAATTCCATAATCAATCACAGAAGGGAGTGTATGTGTACACTCTCACACACAGCACTGTCTCACAATGACAAATACATATGGCATATGACTAAAATGAAACTTTAACTTTTCCCAAAATATGTGACAAAGTAAACTGAAAGAAAAAAATACTGCACACTGTCAGTCTGTCAGGGTAGTATAGCAGTCAAGAGTACAATTTCTATTACACAAGTTGTGAACTTGTAGCTATGAAAATATGAGGCAGGCTATTTTACTATTCTATGCCTTATTTTCTCATATGTAAAATAATAATAAGAATACAATCTCTCTCATGGTGTTCCTGTCTGGATTAAATCAGTTTACATATGCAAATGGATCAAAAGATATAAAATAGGTAATAAAAAAATTGCAAAACTAACAATGCAATTTGCCACTTGTTTTTAAACTAGAAAAGCTCATCTTAAAAGTAACTGAGAATTAGTATTAAAATCCAAGAGAACTGGGCATAAAACAAAAAACTTCCCTTTTGTTTTTAAACTTTTGGATCTACATGTCATTATATCAAAGTAATTCTACAATTATTTATAGAAGTACTAATAATTTTGGCATTGACTCAGACATTTAATTTTTTATCATACATAATGAACTGAAATGAAATGAAAAGAATATCAGTAAAATACATGACACCTAAATCTAAATCAACCTTTCAAAACACCACATTACCTCATATTCCTCCAAGTTTACTTCTTCAGGTTTTATCATTTCTAGTTTGGCTTGAGCAACTTTCATTATGTTGTGACACCTTCAAATGAAAGAAATATATTGCTAAATCAAAAGCAAAATCCATAAAAACTAAAAAAAATATGTGCTAAATGACACAGAACTACCAAACATGTATAAAAATAAAATCCATTTTCACTTGAGGAAATAACCTTTAAAGTGAAAAGTGTGGCTTTTGAATCAATGTTGGATCACTACAAAGTAGAAAGCATCAATAATTTTAATTCAAAGTTACTGTGTTATATTTACATATCGCTTATTTAAATGCAGTTTGCCTGTGGAAAAATGAAACTTGGTTTTTATAATGTTTATATTTAAGCAAGCTGAAGAGACACTGTACCTTCTTTTTTTCCCCTAAATGGCAGTATTCTTTTAAAAATGAACCTATTATTTCAGGTGAGAATAAAAACATTTCAATAGACTTTCTGATCAGAATCAATACTAAAGAAATCGCCACAAAATATATTTAGTACATAAGATGCATCTAATTCTCGTCTTTCAAGCACAAGAAAGATCAAGTTGTCCAAACAGACTGACTACTTGGGATTCCCAAAGAGAGATAATTGCAAAAGATTGTAAAGTTAATGTGATTAACCCATAAACTCCTTCCCCAAAGTCAACAGCACATTGTAACATAGGACATTGACAGCTTAGATAATAAGGGTCAGAATCATTAAGTTTTTTACAGTTGAATATAACAATTTTAAGTGATTCACATACTACTACTAATATAAATCGCAATAGCTAACATTCATTGAACTAGATATGTTTAAAACCATCTAGTTAATTTTTTCACTTAATTCTAATTTTCACAGCAGACAAAATATGAGGCAACAATTGATCCTAGGTACTTTGTTTCTCCTCATATCGTCCTCTGATACACTTTTATAATTCAGCATTTCCAAGATATTCATAAAAGGACAATCATCTACTTCAGAATTAAATTGTAATTACATTAAAAGAGCATAAATGTTTCCATAAAGTAACTTTTAATACCTTAGGCCTTTATTTAGGTTTAAATTTATTGTAGTAGCATTCATTCCAATTAGATAAAATTTTAATTTTCAACATTAGCAATTTTATAAACATTTCTATGAGAACATAATTTTGGGTGAATCAAATTAAGTTAACCATTCAAAGCCCTTTTCATATGTTAATGAGTGCTTTAATTACTGTATTTATATACAAAACTAAAACTTTCCCCAGTGATTCTCATAGAGGAGTGATTCTCACAGAATGATTTTGCTCCCCAGTGGTTAGTTGGGAATATCTTAAGATATTTAATGCTTTTGTAATCTAGGGGTACTACTGGCATCTAGCAGGTAGAAGTCAGGGATATTGCCAGATATCTTAGAAATCACAGGACAGCCTGAACAACAAAATTATCTAACCTAACACGCCCATGGTGTAAAAGTTGAGAAATCATGTTTTTTTCCTAAAATACTGAGTCACATAAGGATTGTGATTTCTTGATATACAATTAAAATATACTAAAATTACCAAATTATTTTCAGTTCAAACTTTAAAGGGCCATGATTATAGACTAAAATTTTAGAGAAATTATAAAGCAACCATCCAAATTAGCAGAGATCAAATCTTGTGGTAGATTTATTAAAATGAGTTCACATGTGCATAAAATAAACATATAAAAATTGCACTAGGGGTCTACAACAAAACAAGGATAATTCTAGCACATGAATAAAATATTTTATTTTCATATTACCTTTCATCAAAACTCAAATTTCTGTCTCCAAATTGTTCCAACAATGTTTTCTCAATGATCTTCTTTGGCGCCTGGTTCTGGATGAAGTAGACCACTACGTGATGCAGACGATAATCTGTTTCTGGTGGGGTGTCTTCTTGGGCCAACTTAACCAACCTTGAATACTCCAATTTAATTGCCTAGAAAATGCAACAAAATGATCTTTTTGGTCAATCATGATAGTTAAATTCCTTCGATATTACGTTTTAAATTTTTATTGCAAATGCCTTTTTCCCTTTAATGTGCTACAAAATAAGACAATTTATCAAAGAACACTGTCCCACATTACATACTTCCAAAGTTTTGTGAATGACTGGGCACATAGGCCATATGTATTCTTGCTATATCTACACACAGCAGTAATAAAAAAAAAATTTAAGCTTATGATGTGACTGATTTTGTAAACTGTATTAAGAGCTGGTCAAAGTATATTACAGGCATCATAAGGTGGACATGCTAAGTTTTCTTATTCTGTTTTATCTTTCTAGCATCAGTCTGCATATCCAAATTCTATGATACACAGCTCCCCAAAACACCTATATCTGAAAGAAAATGGCTGGCTCTCAAGTGCATAGAAATTCTACTACAACCACATTTTAGCTAAATAGTCCACAAATAAAGAATAAAATATCAAATCATTAACATTCATTTGTTACCACAAAGTGATTTCCTTGTTGCAACAATAGCTATTGAATTTTATTAGCATAGTAATAATGATTCTATACTGTGAACACTTTTATTACCTTGATGCTTGGTTTTTCTTTATAGACACAAATACTTCAGAATTTATATGTAATTATAAAAATCAAATATTCATTAAAATTCACTGATATTTGTTATTTTTCATCATAATTACATGTTTCCACATATGAGCAAAATCTGGAAAATATTTGACTCTATAAATCTATTTATAGATTTATATTTTTATAGATTTATACACCAAATACTGCTGAAGCCCATGTGATTAAAGAGAACTTTCATAAAATTCATTTATATTAGGATAATATCTAAATTTATTCTATTAACCATAAAGTATTTTGTTCTACATGCAAGACACATTACAAAAACTCCACTTTATTACAAAATTTTTGCTTTTACATACATGCCTTTCTTAACTAATTCTTGGCCATCCAGAGGTTATTATCTATGTGGCCATACTTTATTGAAAGAAGAAAAAGTAACATACATTAAATAAAATAGCCTAGTTATATTATACTTCACTAAGGGGAAGTCCTTTCTATACAGCAAAGTATTATAAATAGAATGAAATAAGTATTTTTCAAAGAAGGAAAATTTGACCTTTCTTCCCAAGATATACGTGTCATTCCAAAGTCTTACTTCTTGTGGTTAAAAAACATGTAGATAATCAAAGGATCATCATTGTATGACTAATTTCACACATAAGCTTGCTTTGAACTTTAAAATATATTATCCCATGGAAAGGGATAAAAGAGCACATGTTCAATTAATAAAGTATGTTGAATTTGAGAAAAAAATGTGAAACATAGATTTCAGTAACCATTCATTATTGTTATTATGGCTCTGAGACAATGACTGTTATAAACTAGTAGAAGACTTTTAGAAGAATAAATGTTTCAGATGTCATTCATGTGTTTGGTCAGAATTGGGTTTGTATTGAGTCTCCTAAAATAATATTGATTTACACGTGAGGAATTAAAACATAACCCTACCTATATTCCCCTTTCAAATAGAAGTATGATTTTTATAGCAGATTTTATTAGTGAAATAAAATATATAACCTCTTGTAATTTATGTTTACCTCTTGATTTTGTTCAATATAAGATTCTATAAATTTTCAAAATGAATCCTAAATTTGGTCACAGAACATTTCAATTTACAGTTACCAGTAGGGATGTGAGACATTTTCAAACACACACATACACACACACTTTTGCAAGAATAAAGACATTTCTCAACTACTTTTTTTTATATATAAATTTCCTTGTTAAAAAATTTTAGAGCTTTTAAAATAAACTTGAATCTATTCAACTTCTGAACTGATGCTCCATGTTGTTACATTTTATAGGGCTCAATACAATCAGTATTATGAATAAAGTTAACATTATGATAAATTACTTCTACCTACTTTTTTATTATTCTGTTCTAAAATCATATTTGTCATATTTTCTGCTACCTACGATGATAATTATTTTAAGATAATTACTACAGAGACTGCTGATGATACCCTTACAACATGAAATATGATACTGGTCATTAAGTAATAGAACAGCAGTGCATTTCCTTTTTTAACTCTTACACCAGGTTTTAATAAGATGCAGTGTTACCTGATGAATCTTATTTTTCATTACTCTACAACATGGACCTCCTTCTACCTAGGTCAGGTTCCCTAACCCCAACTCGCCAGGCAAATGCATAACTGTTTTTGTTTCTCAGGTGCCCTGTGCATATGATGTCTTTTCTTATTCATTCCCCATATATCTACACATGACCCATTCAATAAAACTCAGTGAAGCCACTTTTAATTCTAAAGATGCAACTTTCTATCTACTATTTTCTATTTTTCTAAATCATAATATAAAATCATATTCTAAATGTACTTCTTACAGGATTTATTTTAATGTAACTATACTCAAATATTAGAAACCATTATACAAACACAGCTCATTCTGATAGCAGTAAGATCTAATAAATTGACTAGATTAAGTTTCAGAAAGCCAGGTACACCAATTATTAATTAACTGCAAAATAAAACAAAGAACACATTCCTTTAAGTCTTAATATTTTTATCTGTAAAATAATTAAGGAAGAATACATATATTATGTGTGTAGCATTTTTTTTTAAATTAACAGTATACCAAGACATGAAAAGAAAATCTAATTCATATTTAAAATTCCTAAAGGTTAAAATCATAAGTTATTTTCTCTGAATATAATAAAATAAAAATAATTAAAAATAAAGGTAAACACTTAGAACTTTAAAAATAGTATTTTAAATTCTTTTTGGCCAAAGAGAATTTTGGAATAAAATTTATATTTACGTTATGAATATAAAGTGTCAAAACCTATAGAATTTATGATTAAAAAAATCCCAACTTGAATGAAATAAAATTTATTTGAAAAATTTAGAAAAAGAGAAAATAAACCAAAATAAAGTAGGAGAAATAAAAATGATGTGATATTTTGATAGCCAAATGCTTTTTCTTTGCAGAAAGATAAAAAGATAAATGGAAGAGCAATAAGGAAAATAAAATTCAACAACAGAAAGAAGAAAGGTAATACCACAAAATCTAGAAAAAAGGTTTTAAAATATATTAAAGAATAACACACATGATTCTGTCAATAAAATATAGTATCTTTTAAAAATAAATTGAATTGCTTTTAGTACAAAACTGAAGAGATGGAGCAAAACTGCAGAAGAACTTTAAAAGTACCTTACACTGAGACAATCAGGCCCACACTGCTTTAGAGCTGCACTATTATGTCAGATCTTCAAAGACCAGATGATGTCTATGATACCTAAACTCACCTAGAGCCTGAAAAAAGAAGGGAAGGAAGAAAGGGAAGAAGGAAGGAATCCTCTGCAATGACTATATGCTACTATAATTCAGGTATCAAAATTGATGAATATTTTTTAAAAATATACATCAATTTTTTTCTATATACACAGTCATCAAGTCATATCTATTTCTGGTAAAGAAACTGCACAGAATACAAAAATATGCAGTAATAAATAATTTTACAATGATTTTTAAAAGATGGATCAAAATTAAGATAATTTACCTTACAAGCTGCCAGAGAAAACTGCTCA